ATACAGAAAAGTAAATATTGTAAAACATTTTTTTGATAAAACAGTTAAACACATTTATCTCAAATTAATGTTAGTTTTCTGTTAAAAAAAACACCCTCTATATTGTTATTAGGTTTCTAGGACTGAACTCTTCTTGCAGACTGAGGTTTCACAGGCCAGTGAGCCAGTTTGACAGCTCTTTGCTGCCCAGGGTAGATATCTATATTGTACTAGACTTCAGCACTGTTCCACCTCAACCCCAACCTTCCTAGGGAAAAAAACCCAACAGATAAATTAAAATCATGGTGATTTTTGACTAGCTGGATGTTTTCCATGGTAATAATTGTCAGTGTTCTTTATAGATACATCATCCAGGCAACAAACACCAGTGGTATGATGGCCTGAGCATTGACCAGGTCTGTAAGCTGTAGGCAGGACACCATTCAGAGCCATCACTTGTAGATGGCACTGCCAAGGGGACAGACATTTCACTTCCCTTCCTGGCACTCCCCTGAAGCCGCTATCAGTGTGGTAAAGCCACACTGTTCCTCTCGTCCCTGATGCCACTGTGCTGTGTTTGTTCTACACAACAACAGAGGGGTGAACCCTGTATGGATTGCTCACCTGAGAATTATTTCCAGAACTACTTAAGGACAAAAATCCTAATTAAACACGTCCAGTGGATCACGTGCCTTTAGGGATGCTACCCCAACCTCAAGATGTGGCACTGTTAGGATTTGGGAGCATGTGGTGCAGGTAGAGTCTAATCACACCTTGGCTCTTAGGTGACAAATCCTGAGGGGGTAATAATGAGATTGCTCTGTCTTGGGGATATTCATTAACAAGATCATCACTGTAATGAGATTATCCTGTCACCAGATAAAGTCATGCTCAGTTCATGCTGTGATGAGAAAGTCCTCAAAAGTAATTAACTATGGAGATGCAACAGGGTAACTGTGGTGTGACAGGAGCACAAAGATCTGGGTTCAGACAAAGCCCTGTGCTTGCCATGGCCTGCAATGCTCAGTTTTGGGAAGGGACCGGTGGAAGCAAAGGCTCCAAAGGCTGGAGAGTCACACTGGTCATGTCATTTCAGGCAATTGCTCAGAATCACTTCAGAAAGAAATGCCTGTAACTAGTTGGAGACCGTAATCACTCATGAACTATTTTTCATTTGACTTCATATGTTTGATTTCAGAAGGAACAGGGCAAGAGACATAAAGATTAACAGACATGTTGATTATCACAGTTATTGTATGAAGCAAGTAATACACAATTATCACAGGAATTTCTCACTGTTGGTCTCCAGAGCTCTAACTGCCACACAACGTAGCCAAAGAATGGCAAGAAAAAGTACTTTGCTTATTTCCTAAGGAATAGGGAAGTCAGGAGGAATAAGCTTCCAGATGCTTTAAATTATGATCATTGTATCATGTTCAGGTTTTGCCATTCAGCCTGATTTCCATCACACACTCCTGACTACATAAAATTTTCCCTAAGAGCTCCCCAATTTTCTTCTAAGACAGGCCAAAGATATATTTCCATGTCTCCCACTCCTAGACTCTCACAAAACACACTGGAATGAAAAGCAGTGAACCTTTAATTCTTGTCAAGAATCAGAATCTGGTTAGGCTTGAAATAACAGGACAGATATTTGATTCATTGATTAAAATGTAGCTAAGTGGCTTCCACATGTATGATCCATGTGTAGCCTCCATAACATGCTTTAACAATTGCCAAACGGACAAAACAGGATTAAGACAATAAAAACAATCTGCAGCTTTTCTGAATAATTACAGTACATCTCACTCATTTAATTAGACTAGAACAAAAAACCCCACAGAAGTGTAATTTCATGTTCAGAGACCATTTCTTAGCTCGTACAGAAAACAAAGTCAAGCCTAAACCTTCCAAAATACAAGTTAATGAGTTTGGGGTGAAATATTAAACCTTGTAGTGCAGGAATTAAGTGAAATCTCTGACTGCTGTGATTTAAGAGGATTCTTCTATCTTGCTTTGAAAAATCTAGTGCAGAGTATAATAACAGACACCAAAGCAGCCCCATGATCTATTTCCTGCATTGATTGTTCCAAATACATGCAAAAAAGATCTTTCTGTGGTTTTTCTTTCTTCTCTCCAGAATCGTCTGCCTCATTTTTTAATTCTATTTTGTTTATCCCACAAATCGTGGATGAACTTGTATGTTCTCAGAGACCACATATGATACAAAGAACAACCTCCAGTGCACCTGCTTTTTATCTGCAAATACCTGTCCTATGACCTCTATATATCTGTGGCTTTCAAGCCTCTTCCAAGTTGTTTTGATAACTGGAAGATCTCTACGCAATGTGAAACTGGTGCTCCACAATATTTTCAGGTTTACAATCTTTCTAAGGTTTGTATTTTTATTTTTAACAAATAAAAGACATCTGGCTCTTTTTTTTTTATAGGCACTTGGGTAATTCTAAATCTGTTCTGCTTTTTTTTTTTTTTCTGAGAAATAAGTTGTTCTGATGCAGCCAAATCTGTCTGTTCTTTTCTCTGAACTATCTTGACACAATTTTATTGGAGGAAAAAAGTCAGAAGGCCAGTAAACCAAATAGTAGCATTTGAGAAAAAGCTAGATTTGGCCAATAATTCAAAAAAGTTTATTTACTTGCAGCATTTTAGTGGGACAAACATTTAAGACAATTATTACACTAAGACACCAATTGTTTCACTACTGTTTGTTAGCAAAGAAAATCCTAGCTAAATTATTTTATCTAGGATGGCTTGATGAAAGTTTGTTTAATTATTTTTTTTATCAGTCTCCATGTGATTTATGAGAAGTTACAATAAACTATTTCTTTATGGGGTCCTTGTTGAGGTAGGAAGGTGAACAGCAAAGCCAGGAACAGTGGAAGCTTTAACGAAACTTAGATTAAACTTTTAAGAGAAACTAGAAGGGAAGATGAATTCCAGGAATTATTATATGTGACTAAAAATGTAAAGCCAGTGCCTAGGTTGTTTAAAATATTTGTGATAGTATGAACCAATGAAACTAGCAAGTAGCAAGTCTCATGTCTGCTTTGAGAGAAATCTGTGTGAAACTCCCAAAACCAATATAGAATTTTAGACATAAAGAGGAAGGGAATTATTTCCAATATCTTGGAAATCTAATTAGTCCCATGCAAACAAGTAGCTAAACCCTTTTGAGCACCTCTAGGCTTGTTCTGGTTGTCACAGATAAGCATCAAAGTACCTATGAGGTCTTTTATTTACAAATAAAAATAGAACTTTCTGTCTTCTCTGCAATTCTCTAGGGTTTTTTGTGTAGTTCTCTGGTAAAAGCACTTTTTTGGCCTGTCCCACGATCAATCCCTATATCCCCAGAAAGGGAAAATACAAGAAGCTGCTGCTAAGACCCCATTCTGCATGTTTATTTTGTCTTCCCCTCCACCAGAAGCCATCTGGATGCTGCTTTGAAATAGATGGATTATGGATAAAGTTATCAGAAGGGATTAGTGTGATTAGAAAGACATTAATCCTGTCAAGAAGTAATGGTCAAGTATTAACCACCAACAGTTGTTCCTAGAATCATGTTT